TAGAATACAACAGAATAGAAATAGAAATAAACTAGAAAGAACAGAAATACAAATTGAGTCGAATACAGAACAGAAGAACAGAATAGAATAGAATTTGAACAGAACGGAATACAGAACAGAGTATGATTAGAATAGAGAACAGAACAGAATAGAAATAGAAAGAAAGAACAGAATAGAATACAACAAAACAGTATAGAAATAGAATAAAATAGAACAGAACAGAACAGAAATACAAATAGAATAGAATACAGACAAGAATCAAATTCGAACAGAACGGAATACAAAACAGACTATGATAAGAATAGAATAGATAACACAACAGAAAAGCAATAGCAATAGAATAATAGTTAGAATTCGAAACATTAGAACAGAATAGAATTAGGAATAGAATAAACTAGAACAGAACAAAACAGACCAGGAACAGAAACAGAATGACAAAGTTGGAAGGGACAGTCCAGTCTCCAAGCCAAGCCCCATAGATGGGCGGCAGGCAGCAGTCCAGCTTGGAAGGGTGGGGTCGGCTTCAAAGAGTGGGGAGCTGTCAAACCCTGTCCCAGAGACTGCCCAAGGACCCCTCCCCTTTTGGGGGTGGGAGGGCGAGTCCAGTCTCCAAGCCAAGCCCCATAAAAGTGTCCTAGGCCTTGGGAATGGGAGGGGGCTTCAAAAAGAGGGGTCCAACCCTGGCCCAAGGACCCTTCCCCCCGTTATATTTAGGGGTGGGGGGTTCTCAGCCAAAGCCTCCCCCAGTCTCCCAGTTTCCTGTCAGGACAAAAAAATAAGCAGCAGTCCAGGTTTGGGCCCTTTGCCGCTCTTACCTCCCTCTAGCCTGCCAGCCCCGCCCGCAGGCACTCTTCCCGGTACATCTCCCCCCCCCCCCCGCGATTGTTCTCTCTCTCTCTCTCCCCGTGGCTCTTCCATCTACCGCCCCCGCCCCCGCTCTCCGTTGTCAGACGGGCCTTCTAGGGGGAGGGGGGCGCCCGAAAGGAGGGGGATTTTCTTCTCCCCCCATTCCCTCCTTCCCTTTCTTACCCCCCCCGTCCAAC